GTCCTTGGGTACTTTATAATCATTTCAGTGTGGCATCAAAACAGTTCTACCGGCAAGATCTAGTTGGTGTAATTCTACCAGTGTGCATTGCAAGAGCGTATCTCAGGATCGCAGGATAAAGAGAAATTCCTACCAACTGGTGTGACGAAAGAAAACAGAACTGTAGTTAGGACTTGAGTATCATAGATTAAACTGGGTTGGCCACCCAGTTTGAACTTTATGTATGCCGGATAAGTGTACTGTATTTCCTACTATTTATTTCCAGCAATGGAATAAGAATACTGTAATAGAGTATCAATGGATGTTTACTTGAAATGGTGTATCCTTTATCATATACTTGCCTAGGTTCATGGTACTTTCAATAGTACAGTGTTAGCCGTTGTATAATAAACGTTGAGTTGATTGTATTACACTGCATCCGAGCAAATTCTTTGGAACTTAAGGATAAAACCTGGGACCCGGTATTAAGACCGGTTACAAAATTGGGGGCTCGTAGTAGAACTGTTTTGATGCCACACTGAAATGATTATAAAGTACCCAAGGACCAACAAAGTTCACATATAACACAAAAGAAGAATTTCTGGCAGCGCGTGAACTAGATGTGCGGCAGGATCACTTTCGTTCAGGCGGGAGTTGGGGCAAGGGTCAAATAGCCTCATTACTATTCATGAGCATACGCACCAATAGAGGGCGCAGTACATATAATAATACCACACGGGTTTACAATATCAAATGTTTTTATGCAGTGGTCAACATCTCTCGTTTAAAACTATATAATTTGCGGGTTTACAATTTGAGAACACAGCGACGCGCGAACACGAAGTGTGAATGTTTTGCACAGACACGACACGCGTTTTTTAATTGCTTGTGCAAAATACTGTTAATATTATATTTATGCGATGTTCACATCTCAAAAAATTCGTGACTTAATACTTGTGTATTGATATTTACCTGTTCCTCGGTAGAATATCAGTTCAACAGTTTGTTATGTTCCGATCGCAAGAAAATAGCTACACTAGTTAAAAAAAATGTACATGAACGAATGAGTCCGCAAATGCTACCTTTGGCTGGGTACCACTCAACACCGTTTGTAATACCGTCTTCGAAACCACTGTCTGTCCCGTTACAGCTGTTGTACTCTATGTCATGCATAATAGCATGAGTCTTGGAATATATCAAGGATATGTTACGATATACGTCATCATCCGGGCATTCGGCGTATGGATAAGGTTCTTCTGCCTTGTTCTCTGCAAACAAAAAAGAAACCTATTATAAATTTGGTGCATACTCCATGCCAAATTAGTATTCTATTGGGTTGGACGACATTTTTAAATTGAAGGGTTTGATGATTGTGTTTGTTGGAAAACTGAACAAGGCTTGTAATTCTACGACGTTGCCATGCTGAATTCATTCTACAATGAATAATATCATTATACACGTAATAAATATTAATGAGTGATTGATTTCATTTTCAGAATACAGATTTGTTCCAATAAGTTTTTATTGCGAAATCCCGCACACGTGTTTACCTGGTTCGGTGTTGTCAAAAGGATAATTAACAACAAGGGCGCCCCCATGTAGATTAGCCGAGAGAATAAACGGTATTTCTTCTAACCAATCCATGACGGCCCGTGTCTCTGGTTGTATCGGGTCTTCATTCTCTTCAAAGTAGTCGGGAAAGTTCCGATTGAGGTTGAATCCATTGGCATTCATTCTGTAATGTTTGAAACATTGAATATTGTTAGCTTTTAGTTGCGTCGTGGTTGAAGTGGTAACATTCAACATACGGGATATTTACTGAATTAAGGATGTAGTAGAGGTTTTTTTCTTTGAAAATATCAAATTTACTTTTATTCTATATTCTCTTATAAGATTATACAACGCATGCATTCAACTAGAAAAACAAAACAACAATTGTAGCGATGGTTTAAGAAGGTGATACATTTTGATTAAATCTGAGATACAGTGTGTTTTATGTTTTTTGTGATTTTTCACCCATAATAAAACATCGGTATTTGGGGTTAGTCTGGGGAATTGATCTCGACTCCCAGCTCCTCCACGACGGTGATTTTTGGCATAGGTATTCTCTGATAGCTGCTAATGAAATCTGGCAAAGGTAATTTGTGAACTCTGACATGGGGTATCAATTCAAAACAACGTTGACAATGTTTTTAAAAGTGTTATGAGATTAAAATCTAGATCACGCAACAGTAGACGAACTGGAAAATTGAATTCAAACCCTTTACATCATTTCTGTGGCTTTATTTCGGTTTCTTCGAAAAAAACCTCTCTATTTGCACAGTGATCACGTGATTACATGGTTCTATTTTTTTATTGGAATACTTATTTCATATCATTTGAAAAAAAAGCTTTCTAAAAATATATAACTTGATTGGATTCAAAGAATATGTTACCTCAGAAATGTGTTATGCAATTGCAATAACAATAACCTCTAACTACATCCTTAAAGGGACGGTATATTCAGATTTTACATGATTTAAAAAAAATATTGTAACAGTAAAATGCAACGAAGATAATGTAGTGTGGACCTGGACAGTGACTGTATTTGAGAAGCATGGAAAGGACAGTGATGTTACTTGTAAATGATATTAGGGCGAGTAATCTGACATATACAGGTTGTGATATACATTTGTACGGAACCAGTTATTTCACTAACCTCCCAACATTTCCACTACAGTCTTCACCACTGATTTCAAAGCCATCTGGGTTCATTGTAACCATAATGTGCACTCTAGTGTTGTCGAGGAACTTCTTGATATCGTCATCAGTTTCATAATTATACAGAAGGTGTTCTATAAACTGTATTAGCAATTCTCTACCCACGACCTTTGAAGGAATTGGATCAATTGAATTCATGCTTGTAATAATGTTAATTAAAGCGCGGTGGTCGTCGCGCAGCGCGTGTTCGAATTTCATGTAAATAATCAATATATTTTACACGCGTTGTATACGTCGCTATGAGTCCCATATCGAACTGGACACGTCACGACGACTGCCGCCCTTTAAATTATATACTAAGTATATCATGGTCCCCCGGCATACGTCATGTATAAGTATATTATAATATATGTTGTATTTTTGTATGAAATATATAGTATGATTTATCGTAAAGACGCATCATGGACGAAAACGTTCAATAACAACGAATGACGCTGTGTGCAACAAAATAAACATTTATATTTTACACAATAGATAATAATTCGCTTTGGCCATCAACACGCAGTACCACACAACACTAATAAACATTATATGTTTTCGTCCATGTTATTCAGAAAACATAACAGTATCCATTCGATCATGGAGGTAATACTATGATTCGATGAAATGATGTTATGCGCATCCAGATGTAATTTGTCGAGGTAATTTACAAGGCGTCCGCACCAAAGTTCAAAGTATTTACTGCATCGAGCAAATGCTGCTATTTTTACTGCTAGAACGACATCTTTATTGTATGATATAACATACCTACTGTGTTTGTTTTCAGAATACTATGCAAACAAACTCCTTTTTACATAACCCTCATTTACCCTTTATGTACATATGACACAAAAACGGAACAATATACACAATTTTCATAATGTTGCAACTCAGTCATCATGAGATTTAGTCGACTGTCTCATCAGTAAAATCACGGTATTCATTTAAGATTTGATCGACTTCCACCAGTAAACGACCAATAAGGTCTGCTTGGCCCCACCCCACTCCAACCCCAACCTCGATCGTTAAAGGGGAGTGTCGTCACCCACGCATGCGTCAGGTGGCCTTAGCGTGTCATTGTTTACAAACAAGCGTCTACCCATGAGCCTTTGTGTTTTAGTGTGTGTTGTTATGGTCGCTTGAGACCCAATTTCCGCGCGTGCGCAGGTGATGACCCTCCCGCTTTAAATCGGGTTCGGAAATATTTTGCGTTCACCAAAATTTCATTATGACTATTGTAGCGATAAAGTATGACTCTCAACCCCTTCATGTATGTTGTAAAACTGTTACCAGCGGTCACGTGTTTGTTTACCTCATTGCCATGCATATTACCAACATATTTAACTTCCGGTCTTCCAATCACGTGTTTCTCTGGATTATTTCCGGCAATCGCTATAACGTACAGTTCGTTTTCTGTAGTAGAGAATGCATCATATATGAATATTTTAAAAGATCGTATTGCTTATTCCTGTTCTCTTAGTAACTGTTATTAAAAGCAGAGGCGTTAGATAATACAATAAAATGCAACTGCGGCAAACACCAAAGAGAATGGATATAATGACGTTCTGGGCAACATCTCTCGGTGAACCGCGTCCCATCATGCATTCATGGGCGCCCAACCGCCATATCACACTTTTCAAGTAGTTTACGACACCTGTTTTTATTGTATCGAATTTGTTCACAGACTATTCCAGGTGATATCCTTCATAATGTTCGTAGACTCGGGCTGGATTTTTGTTGAAAATTGACGAAGAAAAATATTGTACAATTTATGATTATACCTGTTACTATATTGAATTACAAAGAAAATGTAAAATAAAAATGTCTAGAAATGTACTCTGCATGTTTTTTTGGGACGTGACAAACTCGGAATTGCGCATGGATATCACTACACGCTATTCCCAAGGTAAGTAAACGGGGATCGCGACTGACTGTTTGGGCGCGAGTTTCAATTTTGTTGCCTTTTTATTTGTCCTTAATTAATATTTTCTTGGAATAAGTGATGTTATCTGTATTATATAGAATATTAAATTATGGTGATCTTTATTGTAGTTCAAGGCATGTGGCCCAAAAATATAAATTGCATAAACAAAATAAAAAAATAAAATAAAATATGCTGTAAGTCACTCAAAGTTTTTGTAAATTTCATATCTTAATTTTAAGGAATGATACAAATAAGCTGTCACGGGTTGTAGTATGTTACTGTCAATTGTCTTCATCAATTCCACAAACGTAATTGAAGACAATATAAAAATAGTATCTTGGAATGTATTTTTCCCAATGACCTCAAAAAATGGACAAATTAATAGTAAATGGTATTCGTCTCCAATTTCGGAATTATTGCGTAAAGAGCAGACTTCTTTCAATATCATTTTTTTCTGTCGGGTTCTATCCTGAGACAATGAACAGAGCAACGAAAAAGTGATAACACACACCTGTGAGCGGGGGCAGAGACGGAAAATAAATATCGTTCGGGTTCAAGACGAATTTTAAAATTTCGATAGTTTTCTAGTTTATCCATAGTTGAAATATCACCATGCCAATCCGAATACAAACGATATTTCAATCTAGAAGCAAATATCTTAAATAAATAAATATTGGAGACCTCCGGTGCATCCCAAACCTCTTGCATATTGCACGATGTATCACATAAGTGACCTAGTTTGGACTAATTCTAGACTGAGAAAGTGATACAGCATAAAGTAACATTTACTGGGGTACTTTGGCCTTGGCATGCGTAATAATTTGGTCCAATACTTGACGCTGTTATTATAAAAAATTTGTAACGCACAAAATCTCCCAGTACTGCACTTTGAAGCATTTTGAGAGACACCTAAAATATTCTACAAGCAAGATATTGTACTCTTTCTATTGACTCATAACAGTGGTGACCCCAAATTTCAGACCCCATGTTAATATCGGCAGAATCATTGTGTCAAATATTTTGAAGAAATGGTCATAAGATAGCGGGTCCAATCCCCTCGTGCGTTTGAATAGACCCATTAACGACTTTTTACCTTGTTTGGCAAGCAATTTAGTAGCACAGGACCAATTTAACCGACAGCCTGAGGAAAACAACACTCCGAGATACTTGTAATATGATACTACATCAACCTTTTCTCCCTTGAAAAAAACATTTTTCTGCACTTGAAATACAACCCCCACTTCTAAAAACAACAACTTTAGTCTTGAATAAATTGGTCAGCTTCAGTTCCACAAATAGGATGATAGGATAGTAATACATGTAATACATGCTCAATAAGTAGGCTTCTACCACGAGATATCAACGAGATATAACCAGGGGAATACAGTTCGTCTACTTACGTTGAACACTCTGACCAATACTGTATAGATACGTGTGGCTATCGTAAGTCTCATTCATTTCAATCAAAATAGCCTGTAGCTCCTCGTGAGTATGGTATTTGTGCTGTACAGTGGGCACGGAATGAATACAGTTGACCACTGTCAACATAATCAGTACCACGAGATAACCCATTCTGAAAGAACAACATCACGCATTAATAAGTTATATTGCGATGAAGATCTCATTTCAAGTGTAGCAAGATGACCACAAGGCAAATATACATTTCTAGAAATTCCAATGTAAAGGTGTTTAACGCGACAATCGCCGTTTCTACCCCATGTGCGTTCTAAATTAAGCGGGAAAGTGTTTTTCACCTTCCAAAGCTGGTCCGCGCGATAGGCTAATGTCTGCAATAGGGGGGGGGGGGGGTAAGAACAAGTTGACGGACTAGTTAAATTATGGTCACGTGAAAGTCACGGTATATAAACCACGATCGGCGTAACCATCAATCGACCAAGATTTATCTATTGTTTTTACCATGGTTGTCCCAAATTATATTTATACCATTTGGCTGTGTTGTTGAATACATTTGTTAATGAATAAAAGTATTATTATTCCCTTATTTGTGAATATTTAGAAACTTCTATTCAATCTGAAACGAGAGATTTATATTGCTTGGCCGTGAAAGTAATATCACGACCAAGAACCCGTTCCCTTATTTGTGAATATTTATAAACTTCTATTCAATCTGAAACGATAGATTTCTATTGCTTGGCTGTACAAGTAATATCACGACCAAGAACCCGTTTCCTTGTTTGTGAATATTTAGAAACTTTAATTCAATTTGAAACGAGAGATTTATATTGCTTGGCCGTGAAAGTAATATCACGAACCCGTTCCCTTGTCTGTGCATATTTATAAACTTCAATTCAATCTGAAACGAGAGATTTGCTTGGCCAATGAAAAAACATTGGACATGCATGTAAAAAAGCGTGAACGCAAATATAATTTTGAAGATTGGTATCCAAGCAAGGGTCCAAATGCTACTAAATGGTCACGCTCTTCACGTAAGTGTTTGCTCAAAGAGTACGGTAAGAATACATACTGATAAGAGCGGTACGAATCCGGCAAATCTAAAACAGACACATTTTCTCCCAACGCCATTGCACTCTGTGTTCGTTGTCAACTATTCTGACTCAAAATTCGAACATTTAGCTGTCAGAATTTGATTTGTTTGATCATTGTAGAGCATGTATAAACGCGTACCATTATACTTTTTTAGAGGGACAAATGAGCGTAATTTATTATATAAGTTATAAAGAAAATTCACACGAGTTATTTTCAGAAAAGTGACAAAAGTTCACTCTGCCTCTGCAGAACAGCTTGAATGTGCACACCCGTTTTTTGTTTTTGTTTTATGATAGTAGTGAATTTATTGACCATCAATCAAGTTGTTAGTGATATCAGCACTTGAGCCGGAAAAATAGTTTGGTACCCCATTAAGCCAATCTACAAAATACTTGTTAGTTCGTGTGTATTAGATAAGGCGACCCACATTTTATCCGTTTTATTTGCAGTTCTGTCTTCAAGGGCTTGCACTACAATAAATCATAGAACCTTCGAAAACCACCACCTCTGACATCCACAAACCCTAAAGTATGTTTCAAACCTGCACTAAAAACTTGACGTCTTGCTGTACCTTCTTTTCGCACAGTTATTACCATTTATCGTCATCGTTATGAACTTGCATTCAAATCATCTGATATAACCGGTAATATTTAAAAAAATTGCATTCGAGTCACATCTATCAACACATTCTACATAGCATCAAACCAGAAACTTACGGTCTTGTTATTCCTCGGGATGTTAGTTCTCACTGGATGAAAACGTGAAACCGTCTGTCTTGAAAGAATCTGTTATGAGTACTGTAGCTATTGCTCGAGACACAGGTGTTTTGGTGATGTCGCTACCAGGGTGTATACACTCAAGTCTCAGTCCGCGCAGGTCAAGTATAACCTTTAGAAGATTAATCAACCAATATTTGTGTTTGTTTACAAACCAAGGCCCGGACAATAGGTTGTCTCGGTGTATAACTCCGCTGCCTGTAAATATTGACCGTGTGAGGGTCATTTAGGTGTCCCCTGTATCAATTGGGTTACGCTAGGCTTTCTTACAATTCCCTTCCTTGCATCATAGACCCCAGAGACGAGATCTATGATTGCATCATCTTGTTCGCGTCTCCGTCAACTTGTCAACATACTTTTATATATAGTATTATATTATACAAGACACTTCGCGATGAGCGTCTTTTGCGGTCAGTAATATTTACGAAATTTTGTGTTCACTATTGGCGATCCGCTCTGCTAGGATTGCCCTTAAAATCATTTTTGTGTGTGTTATTTCCAGTGTTTTCACGTATTAATTCTTCTGTGATCTTTTAGCTTGGCCAATGTCCCTCAAACTTGGCAGGCAGGTCACACCATCACCCTAGTTATTAGATTGAATATGAGATCCGTGGTACATCGTGGTCATTCCAGGATGTAAACTCGTTCTTACAAATAAATAAATACAACATTAGTATATTAGGCCCATTTTATATGATATTTCAATCGTGTGTATGCGACGCAAAACTTAATATATTGCCAAATATTTTGATTTTAATTATTTCTATGAGATAGCAAATTTAGTATTTTTTGGAAAATTGTTAATTCATTATCAGTATCAGTGTGTTTAAATTTTAGCGAATTAACATTATGGCATATTACGTCTGTCAAATAACGGCCAAATGAATACGTGGAATCATTAATCACTAAGGACCTGGCGTAGAATTGGAAATTACTCAAATAAACAAATGTCAAATTCGGGAACAGGATATAGTATATTTGGTTATTGATGAAATAGTAGGGCGCCACCAGACGGTCTGGCTTAGCAAGTGCGTCGTGTTTCTATTCTGAAGTTGACGCTGATTGTACACAAATAAAGCCGCTCATCCCGCCATTGGATGGCGGCACATCGTGTACGTAATGTTTACAAAGGACGTGCAGATGATCCGTGGTTCATCGTGACCAATAATAAAATGATTGATTGTTCTCATGGTTGTTCAACCACAGGGAGCCCAGGAACTATAATCAACCGTAATACGCAGTCTCTGTGTTAGCGGGGTGGGGGGGGGGGGTGTATCGGCTGGTATCTAGTGTAAGAAATAGACAAGAGATGAAGGATCCAGCCAGCTCACATTTTTTAAACTCGAAAAAACAGACGAAAAAAATAAAAAATAAAAAATAAAATCTAAAAAAAAATACCAGGTTGAAGAATATTAGTTGCTCCTTCGAATATCGCCAAAGCCTTACCTACATGAACATGAATTGACTACAGGTTTAATGCGGAAATACATTCGTTATTTGTAATAGTAAGGGGAGAGAAAATTTCTCTCAAATGTTTGTATAAGTTCAAATCAAATAAGTGGTTCTCAAAATATAAAATTATTTGCGGGGAAAA